TAAAGGGGACAAAAAGATACAAAACATCCAGGCCATGGGAAAACCTGGGTAGCCACAGCCACTCAAGAGGGAGAGGTTTTTTAGTGCCAGGAAAGAAAAAAAACTGGCAGGAAATGGCAGAAATCGTACACCAAATCCAGTCATTCCTGGAGTGGAACCACAGTCGATGGCCTCCACTCCAAACCAACAGATACAGATACTAATGCCGGAAAAAAAATCCCCCCCCAGTACCAACAATACCACCAGTCCGATAACATTCGTCTTTGCCAATATACAGGGTCTAAAGCCAGCAACAAACAACAAAATACCTTTCATCCGTGGACTGCTTGCAGAGGCAAAGGCAATGTTCGCGGCTTTCACTGAGACCCACATAAAGGATCACTTGGACAACGAAGTATGGATCCCAGGTTACAACCTATACAGATGTGACAGAGTGAACAGGCAAAAGGGGGGGGGGGTTGGCCTGTACATTGCAGAGTCACTTGTTTGCACAGAACTGCTTAATGCCTCAAATGACGTAGTGGAAGTTTTAGCAGTAAAGGTCGAGAACCAAAACCTAGTCATTGTGGTAGTCTACAAGCCTCCGGATGCAACATCCCAGCAATTCCAGGAACAGCTGTTAAAAATTGACCACTGTCTGGAAAATCTTCCAGCTCCTGCACCCAACATCTTGCTCCTGGGGGATTTCAACTTAAGGCACCTAAAATGGAGGAATATAGCAAATAATATTGTTGCAGTAATAACACCAGGAGGCAGCTCTGATGAAAACTCACACTCACACGAGCTTTTAAATCTCTGCACAAAATTCAATTTAAACCAGCAAATAATAGAGCCTACTAGACTGGAGAATACACTAGACCTCATCTTCACTAACAATGATGATCTGATAAGAAATGTCACCTTATCAAAAACAATATACTCAGATCACAACATAATTGAGGTTCAGACATGTATGCGTGGAGCCCCAGACCGACAAAATGAGACTAGTCACGAGGAAGCATTCACCAAATTCAACTTCAATAACAAAAACATAAAGTGGGACCAAGTAAACCAAGTCCTAACCGATATAAGCTGGGAAGATATACTAAGCAACACAGACCCAAACTTATGCCTAGAACAGATTAACTCGGTGGCACTCGATGTATGCACAAGGCTTATTCCTCTAAGAAAAAGTAGGAGTAGATGTAAAATAGAAAGAGACAGGCGCTCCCTTTACAGGCGACGGAAAAGAATAACAGAGCGGGTAAAAGAGGTCAATATATCTGAAATGCGCAGGGAGACACTGGTCAGAGAAATAGCAAGCATCGAACTTAAGCTAAAAGAATCCTTTAGGAGTCAGGAGTCGCGGGAAGAACTAAAAGCCATAAATGAAATCGAAAGAAACCCAAAGTATTTCTTCTCCTTTGCCAAATCAAAATCGAGAACAACGTCCAGTATTGGGCCCCTACTTAAACAAGATGGGTCCTACACAGATGACAGCAAGGAAATGAGTGAGCTACTCAAGTCCCAATATGACTCAGTTTTTAGCAAGCCGCTAACCAGACTGAGAGTCGAAGACCAAAATTAATTTTTTATGAGAGAGCCACAAAATTTGATTAACACAAGCCTATCCGATGTTATCCTGACGCCAAATGACTTCGAACAGGCGATAAATGACATGCCCATGCACTCTGCCCCAGGGCCAGACTCATGGAACTCTGTGTTCATCAAGAACTGCAAGAAGCCCCTATCACGAGCCTTTTCCATCCTATGGAGAGGGAGCATGGACACGGGGGTCGTCCCTCAGTTACTAAAAACAACAGACATAGCCCCACTCCACAAAGGGGCAGTAAAGCAACAGCAAAGAACTACAGACCAATAGCACTAACATCCCATATCATAAAATCTTTGAAAGGGTCCTAAGAAGCAAGATCACCACCCATCTAGAAACCCATCAGTTACACAACCCAGGGCAACATGGGTTTAGAACAGGTCGCTCCTGTCTGTCTCAACTACTGGATCACTACGACAAGGTCCTAAATGCACTAGAAGACAAAAAGAATGCAGATGTAATATATACAGACTTTGCAAAAGCCTTCGACAAGTGTGACCATGGCGTAATAGCGCACAAAATGCGCGCTAGAGGAATAACAGGAAAAGTCGGTCGATGGATCTATAATTTCCTCACTAACAGAACACAGAGAGTAGTCGTCAACAGAGTAAAGTCCGAGGCAGCTACGGTGAAAAGCTCTGTTCCACAAGGCACAGTACTAGCTCCCATCTTGTTCCTCATCCTCATATCCGACATAGACAAGGATGTCAGCCACAGCACCGTGTCTTCCTTTGCAGATGACACCCGAATCTGCATGACAGTGTCTTCCATTGCAGACACTGCAAGGCTCCAGGCGGACATCAACCAAATCTTTCAGTGGGCTGCAGAAAACAATATGAAGTTCAACGATGAGAAATTTCAATTACTCAGATATGGTAAACATGAGGAAATTAAATCTTCATCAGAGTACAAAACAAATTCTGGCCACAAAATAGAGCGAAACACCAACGTCAAAGACCTGGGAGTGATTATGTCGGAGGATCTCACCTTCAAGGACCATAACATTGTATCAATCGCATCTGCTAGAAAAATGACAGGATGGATAATGAGAACCTTCAAAACTAGGGAGGCCAAGCCCATGATGACACTCTTCAGGTCACTTGTTCTATCTAGGCTGGAATATTGCTGCACTCTAACAGCACCTTTCAAGGCAGGTGAAATTGCCGACCTAGAAAATGTACAGAGAACTTTCACGGCGCACATAACGGAGATAAAACACCTCAATTACTGGGAGCGCTGAGGTTTCTAAACCTGTATTCCCTGGAACGCAGGAGGGAGAGATACATGATTATATACACCTGGAAAATCCTAGAGGGACTAGTACCGAACTTGCACACGAAAATCACTCACTACGAAAGCAAAAGACTTGGCAGACGATGCACCATCCCCCAATGAAAAGCAGGGGTGTCACTAGCACGTTAAGAGACCATACAATAAGTGTCAGGGGCCCGAGACTGTTCAACTGCCTCCCAGCACACATAAGGGGGATTACCAACAGACCCCTGGCAGTCTTCAAGCTGGCACTGGACAAGCACCTAAAGTCAGTTCCTGATCAGCCGGGCTGTGGCTCGTACGTTGGTTTGCGTGCAGCCAGCAGCAACAGCCTGGTTGATCAGGCGCTGATCCACCAGGAGGCCTGGTCACAGACCGGGCCGCGGGGGCGTTGACCCCCGAAACTCTCTCCAGGTAAACTCCAGTAGCTGGGAAAGCAGGAGCGACCCGTGTTGCCCTGGGTTGTGTAATTGATGGGTATCTAGGTGGTTGGCTATCTTGCTTCTTAGAACCCTCTCAAAGATTTTTATGATATGGGATGTTAGTGCTATCGGTCTGTAGTTCTTTGCAATTGCTTTACTGCCACCTTTGTGGAGTGGGGCTATGTCTGTTGTTTTTAGTGTGTGTAGGATGATCTCTGTGTCCATGCTCCTTCCCCATAAAATGCTGAAGGCACGTGATAGGGGCTTCTTGCAATTCTTGATGAACACAGAGTTCCATGAGTCTGGGCCTGAGGCAGAGTGTTTGGGCATTTCATTAATTGCCTCTTCAAAGTCTTGTGGAGTTAGAATAATCGAGATTTTTGAGATGACCAAATTTTGGGATTTGTTCAAAAAGATTTCATTTGGATTTCGACCCTTAGAGTGGGCAATGGCTCACTGAACACTGAGTCATTTTGGGACTCACTCATTTCTTGGCTATCATCTGTGTGTGTCCCATCCCACCTAAGCAGGAACCCAATACTGGATGTTGTTTTTCCCTTAGTTTTGGCATAAGAGAAGAGGTATTTTTTTTTTTTTTACAATGTCCTTTATGGCTTTTAGTTCTTCCCATGATTCATGTCTCCTATACGATTCCTTCAGCTTTAGTTCAACATTTGCAATTTCATTGACTAGTGCTTTCCTTCATATTTCAGATATACTTACCCCACTCAGCAGCTCTGTGACTCTTCGCTTTCGTCTGTATAGGGAACGTCTCTCTCTGTCTAGTTTACATCTTCTCTTTCTTTTTCTTAATGGAATGTGTCTTGAGCAGATCTCAAGAACTGCAGAATTAATTTTTTCAAGGCAAATGTTCAGATCTGTGATGTTTAGGATATCTTCCCATGTTGTTTCATTTAGAACATGGTTTACTTGTTCCCATTGTATGTTTTTGTCATTGAAATTGGATTTTGTGAAAAGACTTTCATGACTGCTAACATTTTGCTAGTCCAGAGGCCTGTGCATACATGTCTCTACCTCTATTATGTTGTGATCTGAGTGAATTGTCTTTGATGCAGTTATATTATGTATCAGATTGTCATTTTTAGTGAAGATGAGGTCCAGCATATTTTCTAGTCTTCTAGGCTCTTCTATTTGCTGGTTTAAGGTGAATATGCTGCAGAGATTTAATAGTTCGTATGTGTGTGAATTATCATCTGAGCTGCCTCCCGGGGTGATCTCTGCTAAAACATTGTTTGCTATACTCCTCCATTTTAGGTGTCTCAGGTTGAAATCTCCTAGTAATAAGATATTTGGGGCAGGAGTTGGGAGATTTTCCAGACAGTGGTGAATTTTCTCAAGCTGCTCCTGGAATTGCTGTGATGTTGCATCTGGAGGTTTGTATACTATCACAATGACAAGGTTTTGGTTTTCGATCTTTACCGCCAAAACTTCAACTACATCATTTGAGATGTTTAGTAGTTCTGTGCAAATGAGCGACTCTGTGACATGCACTAATAAGAAAGAGGCATTGGTTATGCCTTTCTCGTATCATGCACTGACTCAATTGCATTTAGTGGAATTACATCCCATGCAATGACTGGTCCAACTCAAAGATAACTAATAATTAGAGAGGAAGCTTCAGACAATATTTTGATCAATTCTGGACCATTGCCAAAGGTTGCATCTCTAATAATAATTTTCGTTTTGCTTTTCAGAATGGGTGTGGAAGTATGGCTGTTTGTGGCAGCATTGGTGCTGGCGGCTTGGTCATACTCTCGCCGGCGCCACAGCTACTGGTCATCCAGAGGAATACCTTCTCCTCCTGTTCTCCCCTTTCTTGGTCACATTCATAATATGCTATCCATATTTAATTTTCGATGGGTTTATTTTGACGAGGTTAGTACATGTTGCTTGATGCATTTAATCTAATGCCTTTGCAAAGTGTGGAAAATACTGTACATATTTTCAAGAAATACGGTAGTTATATGTAAATAGATGGCCATACTGTATTTAATAATATTTATGTCATAGAAAATGGAAAGCCTGCATCTGGGCAGGAGAGTCGCCATTTTGTTTGAATTTGTATTAGAACGTTGGTGAAATGGGAAGGATTTTTCGTGCTCTAGAGGTTAAAATTGGGCTGACACCTCTCAAATAGGAGGCGAAATTGGTGGAACTTGCACACGAAAATCACTCACTACGAAAGCAAAAGACTTGGCAGACGATGCAACATCCCCCCAATGAAAAGCAGGGGTGTCACTAGCACGTTAAGAGACCATACAATAAGTGTCAGGGGCCCGAGACTGTTCAACTGCCTCCCAGCATACATAAGGGGGATTACCAACAGACCCCTGGCAGTCTTCAAGCTGGCACTGGACAAGCACCTAAAGTCGGTTCCTGACCAGCCGGGCTGTGGCTCGTACGTTGGTTTGCATGCAGCCAGCAGCAACAGCCTGGTTGATCAGGCTCTGATCCACCAGGAGGCCTGGTCACAGACCGGGCCACGGGGGCATTGACCCCTGGAACTCTCTCCAGGTAAACTCCAGGTATGCATTCCTGCATAACTTGAGATATCAGGCGACTGGACAAGACCTCTCCAGGAACCTCAGATAAGCTCTCTAGATTTGTGTGTAATTCTGGCCAGCATTATTTTCATAGATTTAGTTAGAGTGAGGTTTTCTGAGTATGATACACATTAATATCCAGTCAAATTGGTGAGTGATATTAAGATATATTTTCCTTCTGTTATGTAATTGTGTATATATATAACCATTTATTATTTTTAATATGCAGTCCACAAATTTATATATTTACCAGCATTCCTGGTGTATGTATATTTTATTTAATTAATAGGTCCAGAGCAACTTGTGGATATGACAGTGGTAGGTATCGAAGGGGGCCCTTTTTTTCGACCTAGGTGTCCCAAATTCCTACTTGTCTATGTAACTTTGATAAATAATAATTATCTTTGTTATCATTTTCTGTTATGTACATAATGAGTTACATTCAGATAAATGCAATTTTCCACATAAAATTTTAATTGCAAGATTAAACATTTTATTTTTGTTTTTAAGCTCCAAAATCTGGTTTAAACTCTAGATAAATTATGTTAAGGTCTGATGTGTCAACAGCAACTCTGTTGATCCAAATCATATCAGTATTCATCCTCAGGTTCTCACTCTGACCAATCTGTTTCATCTTAAGAATTAACCGTAAATATGTTGTACCTCAGTGTTCCTCAACACAAATGTTTTACCAAACTGTTACACAGAATATCATCATAAACCAAATTGTTACAGTTTATTTTTACAGTTTTTTTCACACCATAGCATTCCAGTAAATGATGGTCATAATTATTACAAACTATTCTCATCTGGGAGGCGAGAGTACTTTGGTCATAATTAATACAAAGTACTCTCGTCTGGGAGACGAGAGTTGTGAAAAATAAATCACTTGCATGTACCTCAACATTACGGTCATACAAGTAATCTCATTGGGAAGTGACAACCATATATTGTTTACGGTAGTTACCCCTTGTAGATGTGTGAGGAAACTTAAGCCAGCCCTGGTCGTTGCAAGCTGCCACTTCGATATCCCACAACTTAAATGCATCTGTTCTAGACCAGTACTATAACTTAGAAGTGGACAGCACTCACAAGTACGGTGCTACTAATTAGTTGTGGATTGTATGGATAAATTGGATTGATTAGAAAAAAAGGGGGCAAGGGGTTACACGGAAACACAACGAGACTACCACTTACCAAATTTCATTGGTGGTCACTGGAGATCGTTGCAGCACCCACAACACCTGTTCCATTATAACATACCTAACTGGCCAGTATCAGTTTGCTATAACTAGAAAGGTTACTTAACTGTGGGTGAGGAGGTCGCATTCCTGTCTGTCTTATTTCCTCCTCCAATCTCGATGTCCTGCTAAACCGATACAGTTCGTCTTCCAGCAGGATTATATCACTTGAGTTGGTCCGACTTAGGAGACGAGACTCCGAAAAAACTCTGTGTTCCTCGCACGCTTACATGTGTTCACTCGGAGAACGGCGACTCATTTCACTTCATACATTCTCTTAACTTAGTGTTATTATTACTGATTTCACTATAATTCACAAGATGACTTAACGTCTCATTAATTTTACACACTTTAGAAGTCGATCCATTCAGATCTGAGCCTGATAAGTGTTGATTGAATAGTCAGGTATTTCCCCCCCCCCCTGAGCACTCGTAATGGTGCATCCCGTCATACCCAGCTTGGCATCCCTCACTATTTACTATTTTTACCATCTTATTATAGTGGTCCTGCAAATTACGTTCCTTCACGCTTCACTAGGAACAGTTAGAACACTTCCTATTATGAAGTGAGGCCTATATTAATCCTTAGGCTGCTGCGGATGCCAATTTCCTGGTCCCATTTTTTGACCAGCCTGTTAACCCCATTCAAAACACTCCTGCGTTTCCTCTTCTCCCGGTGCATGCGCAGAGCCTATTTGTTGGTTCTCCTCCACTTTCAAATATATTTCAGACCAACAGTAACACATTAATTACATGTTAGGGGCACAATAACTTTGGAAAATTAAATATTTTACACACTGCGGCTGGGCGGAGTTCATTGCTAGATGACTTAAATAATGTGGAGTACATTTTTCCCAACTGGACTGGCCACCTGGTGTGGAAACTCCAACATTGGAATTTACCTAATCACCAATTAATTTTTTCCGCTGTTTAAAAAGTTTCTCAGGTAGGGTTTCATCCCAAGCATACTTAAGCTTCCCTGCTTCTTGTATTAACAATTTTCCTCTTATTGTAAGAGATGACACTAAGCCTAGTGGATGGAAGAATTTTGAAACTCCAGCAAGTAATACTCTCTTGGTTAATTTATTGGGCATACTGTAATTATTAGACTTTAACAATAACAAGTCTCTCTCAGTATCCCAAGTCAGCCCCAGTACATTGCTATGTTTAGACACTTCAACTCCAGGGCTGTCTTTATTTATATGATCTTTTAGACTGGATGAATTACTGTTCCACTCCCTCAGGGGCATATTTGCACCTTTCATTATTTCATTAGCCCCTTCATATATCCTCATTAGTTCCTCTTCAGTGGACGTCAAACCCAGGAAACTGTCCACATAAAATTGTTTACCCATTACTTCACTCAGTGGACCACCTGTGCGTTTATTAAGGTGTGTATTTATCGTCGCCTGAAGTAGGAACAATTTATTATTTAACTGTTCATTAATTATATCATCCAACACAAGTAAGGCTACCTCAGCTAGGCCATCATTATTGACATTAGCTGCAATCTTTACAGTAGCCACTGTAGTGTCAGAGTCATTATCACTATCATTATTATCACCATTATTATTAGAATTATATACACTCTTGCACATAACTGTATGGTGCCTTCCCTTGTAGCACTGATAGCAATTGCTAAATTTTTCATGACAATCCTTTACATTATGATTGCCTAGACATCTGATACATCTGTCAAGTTCTTCCATTCTTTCCACTTTAACATCCCATAAATTATAGGCAATACAATTCTTAGAGGAATGAGTACCCTTGCAGAAGAGACAGTCTCTCTTTTCTTTGCCTGACCTCTTATCAACTAGGTTACCCTTATTGGGGTACTTATTACTCTTTGATGTGAAGAACCACTATTACTGATTCCTGTCCTTTGTGAGACTTGACAGATACCTCAGTCATTATGTGTTATATCCTTAGAATTGTTTGGCTGACTGGTCTGCAATTGAACAATTAATTCTTGCAGACCTAGTCTGATTTCCTCCAGACTGTGCTCTGGAGGTTTTGGCGAACACATCTCTTGCATTAATAGGTTGATCAACTACCTGGTTTACACCCTTTAACTTTTACAGGACAGTTTTTCTTCCAATTCATAATACTGGTTAATTAATACATCCATTTCCTTTCCAGCAGATCTCTCTCACAGCCTTTAAACCACAATTTGTACCACTCAAATCTACTCTCTAAAGCATCTAAATATAACTTTAATTCATTTGAGTTTACAGGTTCTTGTCCCATTAACTCCATACACTTGCTGTATGATTTAGTAACATGATCCTTCCTCTTCTCCCGGTGCATGCGCAGAACCTCTCTGTTGGTTCTCCTCCACTTTCAAATACACTTCAGACCAACAGTAAAACATTAATTACATATTAGGCACAATAGCTATGGAAAATTAAATATATTCCACAAGAGTACTTTGGTCATAATTGATACAAAGTACTCTCGTCTGGGAGACGAGAGTACTTTGGTCATAATTAATACTAAGTACTCTCATCTGGGAGATGAGAGTACTTTGTTCATAATTAATGCAAAATACTCTCATCTGGGAGACGAGAGAACTTTGGTGATAATACAAAACATTCTCGTCTTGGAGACGAGAGAACTTTGGTGATAAACAAAACATTCTCGTCTTGGAGACGAGAGAACTTTGGTGATAATACAAAACATTCTCGTCTTGGAGACGAGAGTACTTTGGTGATAATACAAAACATTCTCGTCTTGGAGACGAGAGAACTTTGGTGATAATACAAAACATTCTCGTCTTGGAGACGAGAGAACTTTGGTCATAATGTTCACATTGTGATGATGTTCAACTTTTACAGGTATACCACAAGTATGGTGGAGCAACATTATGCGGTTTATATGAACTGTTTCGACCTGTTCTGATGATTGGTGATCCTGACATTCTCAAACATATTTGTATTAAAGACTTTGATCATTTTGTTGAACGTCGACCATTTCCGGCTGAAAAAGAAAGTCTTATGAATGAAATGTTAATTAACAAGTATGGAGATGAGTGGAAAGCCCTTCGGAGTGCCATGAGTCCCACCTTCACCTCCGGCAAGTTACGTGGGATGTTCCCTCTTATCTGTGACAAAGCTGATTCTCTCGTCTCTTTCACTCTCAGTGCAGCTTCTAAACAACCTTACGTTGATATGAAGGAAAATTTTGGGAGGTTCACAATGGACACTATTGCTTCCTGTGCTTTTGGTATTGAATGTAATTCCTTTAGAGACAAGAAACCTGAGTTTGCTAAATGGGCATCAGATTTCTTTGATTTTTCATTTGTAAGGCTAATAAAATTTACTCTCTTTAACATAAGCCCAAAACTCTTTAATGATTTGGGAATTAAAATGGGTACGTTTTCTGTGGAATTCTTCCAAAGAGTGGCGGAGGAGACTATAGCAGCTAGAAAGGCAGGTCAGAAAAGGAACGATTTCCTGGATCTCCTTCTGGACGCACAAGCAGGTCATAACCTTCCTACCACTGCCCATGTATCAGCGGCCTCACACACGCAGTCCACCACTGACGACTCTGCTGCCACTGACAACCTTAAGAACAATTCTCAATATTCCAACAGTGAAAACAAAAACATTTCCACAACTTCTAAACAAGGTGAGTGCCAGTTTTTTATAAGATAAATATTAATGCGTGAGCGTGTTTGATAGGAGTGAATGGAGACAAATGGTTTTTAATACTTGACGTGCTGTTGGAGTGTGAGCAAAGTAACATTTATGAAGGGGTTCAAGGAAACCGGCAGGCCGGACTTGAGTCCTGGAGATGGGAAGTACAGTGCCTGCACTCTGAAGGAGGGGTGTTAATGTTGCAGTTTAAAAACTGTAGTGTAAAGCACCCTTCTGGCAAGACAGTGATGGAGTGAATGATGGTGAAAGTTTTTCTTTTTCGAGCCACCCTGCCTTGGTGGGAATCGGCCAGTGTGATAATAAAAAAATAAAAAAATAAAAAATATTAATTATTTTTTAACACACCATCCGTCTCCCATCTAAGTAGAGAAACCCAAAATAGAAGAACCACTTTAACCATCACTCACTTTATGATCATCTTGCCATAGGCACGGCGATGTTAAAGTTCAGATACCTGTCCAAACTGCAATATTCCTACCTCTCCTTCTAAGCTCAGGCACTGTACATTCCACTTCCAAGACTCGGGCCCAGTTAACTAGTTTCCAAGAATCTCTTCACGGATGTTACTTTGCTCCCACTCCAACAGCACATCAAGCCATAAAACCCACTTGCCTCCACTCACTACTATCTAGCACTATCACATGTGCATGATGGATGTCCAAGCGCCTCGCATATAAAACCTTCTTTACTCCCTACCTTCAGTCTTTCCTAGGACGACTAATACCCTTCATGCCCTCCATTACAGATTTATATACCCTCCAAATTTTACTATTATCTTCCGTCCTCTCTAAATCTCCAGACCACCTCAACAAACCCTCCTCAGCCTTCTGGATAATACTCCTAGTTATATTGAGCAACTTAATTACATGGTAACCTTTTACTCCTAGGCTGGCGCCTAGGAGTAAAAGGTTAAAGCTGCTGGCACATAGGGGTAAAAGCCTTGTCTAGGGGCATTTAAAATATTAAAATACAGCAATTTAGGACTAAGCTCGCTTCTTCACAAAAAGTTTTAACTTGATGGTCAGTACTTTTATCAGGAAGGATAGAAAAACTGACCTTATGTTCATTATCAGGAAGGGCAGATACACTAACATATATAAAAATACATATTATTAATAACCTAAAATATGAAACAAACAACCACCAGTATTTATTTAAAAATTTAGTATACATTAAATATATACATTATATACATCCACTAGGGAGGCCAAGCCCATGATGACACTCTTCAGGTCACTTGTTCTATCTAGGCTGGAATATTGCTGCACACTAACAGCACCTTTCAAGGCAGGTGAAATTGCCGACCTAGAAAATGTACAGAGAACTTTCACGGCGCGCATAACGGAGATAAAACACCTCAATTACTGGGAGAGCTTGAGGTTCCTAAACCTGTATTCCCTGGAACGCAGGAGGGAGAGATACATGATTATATACACCTGGAAAATCCTAGAGGGACTAGTACCGAACTTGCACACGAAAATCACTCACTACGAAAGCAAAAGACTTGGCAGACGATGCAACATCCCCCCAATGAAAAGCAGGGGTGTCACTAGCACGTTAAGAGACCATACAATAAGTGTCAGGGGCCCTAGACTGTTCAACTGCCTCCCAGCATACATAAGGGGGATTACCAACAGACCCCTGGCAGTCTTCAAGCTGGCACTGGACAAGCACCTAAAGTCGGTTCCTGACCAGCCGGGCTCTGGCTCGTACGTTGGTTTGCGTGCAGCCAGCAGCAACAGCCTGGTTGATCAGGCTCTGATCCACCAGGAGGCCTGGTCACAGACCGGGCCACGGGGGCGTTGACCCCCGGAACTCTCTCCAGGTAAACTCCAGGTAAACTAATACATGGCTACATGTTATATGTTAGGTCACATTAAAACAATTAGTTTCCATAACCACATCGTTCTGTAGGCCTGTAGCCTGCACGGAAACCACTTTACCCGTACTCTCCAAAACTCCAACAGGCCTCTCTACATAGTAGGACCTCACAGGTAATATCATGACAGTACAAACAAAATAAAAAACAATAACCTAAAACTTATCCAAAATACCACCCCCATAATTAACCAAACACCATGACATCTTGCTCCAGTCACTGCTATCCCAGTACTGACACACACCTATTTTCTCTCTCTCTCCCCTGACCACTCATGACCAGGTCTAATACACGTTCATTTTATGTTCAGTCGGTGTTCACTAAAACTATTTTAATGGAGCATTTTTAATGCATATATTTTATTTTGCAACCATGCAATAACCTGCATAATTTCCCCACCACCAGACCAACGGTCTCACTCAGCCAGTTGTAACCTCTTGGCTGCAGCTGGTCGAGGGAAAAAGAGACCAACGGTCTCACTCAGCCAGCTGTAACCTCTTGGCTGCAGCTGGTCGAGGGAAAAAGAGACCAACGGTCTCACTCAGCCAGCTGTAACCTCTTGGCTGCAGCTGGTCGAGGGAAAAAGAGACCAACGGTCTCACTCAGCCAGTTGTAACCTCTTGGCTGCAGCTGGTCGAGGGAAAAAGAGACCAACGGTCTCACTCAGCCAGCTGTAACCTCTTGGCTGCAGCTGGTCGAGGGAAAAAGAGACCAACGGTCTCACTCAGCCAGCTGTAACCTCTTGGCTGCAGCTGGTCGAGGGAAAAAGATAGAAAGTTATCATAAGGTCTGGGAAACCTGTATAAAGTTCACCAAAAATAAGAAAACTTCTTCAAACACTCATTCTTACCTTATTTCCTTTGGTATAATTTTATTTACATAAAAATGCAAAATTAACACTTATCATTATAATAACAATATATAATACCTTCAACGAGCACTGCAAACCCATAGACATGAAACTCGTTTAACGTAGAAGTGTTGATTATTTATGCCAATGAGCCCACATTAAAGTAAGAAAATTCACCATCACAGTGTTGGCTAAACACCGTCGTTGATGCATTTTACTCATACATAACAAAGTTTAATACTGCTGATTGGGTTCCCTCTGTACACATATTAATTGCAAAAAAGTAAACTGATTTACATAATACAAAAATCATAATTTGAGCAACTATCTCTTTAAACAGCATTAATGTTCATTATCACATATACCCTTGAAACAGAAAAAAACAGGAACTTCAAAAAAAAGACAAAAAATTTAATATCCCAGAAATAGTGCACAAAATGTTACATTTAAAACAGTATTTCCAAAATACAATTTTCAAAACAGAGATGTGACTGATACACTTTTGCATCTAGTGCACCAATAAAATTATTCCTAAGAGGAAACCCTTCTGCCTTAGTTATTAAATTTACCTTGCACAGTCAGTAAACATGTTTAGGGTGCCATCTAGTGTGAGGTCCGTGGATAACAATGTTTAGGGTGCCATCTAGTGCTGTCCTAGGGGACAGTGCTAGGGTGCTGTGTTGTCCTGGAGGAAAGTGCTCCAAAGGGCCCTAGTGATGTCTTAGAAGAAAGCGCTCGTGAGGGTACTAGTGTTGTCACGGAGGACATTGAAGACAACCTTACTCAGTTCAGAGAGGTTCAAATTAGAGATACTGCTGGAGATATATCAAAATGGGTTTGATGCCTCAGGGAATAGAGTCGACACACTACCCGCAAAACTGGAGGAGCTCTGATGTCCATACAGGGGTAAAAGATATTGAGGAAAGAGGACAAATAAATGCACCAGCATGAAAGCAGCTACAATAAAAAACTAGAAAACAGAAGTACAATCTATGTAAATACTATGCCTTGGGTATAAGTTAGACAGTCCTCGATGACGCACTGACTTTCTTTGGGTTACCCTGGGGTGGCTAACCCTCCGGGGTTAAAAATCCGAACGAAATCTTATCTTATCTTATCTGTAGGTGGGAATGCACCTTTGACCATCCCAAAAAAGGCCGCACCCACAGACAACAGGAGAGTGCAAACTTCCCTTCTTGCAACTTATTACCCCCAGAAATGGGGTCACTTATTCAATCCATGAAAGAAAATGCTACAATGCATACTGCCAGGCACATCATCTGAAGGGGACGGGAAAAGACACAGGAAACGAAAGAGAGGAGCCCAACCTCTCCAAGGACAGAGGTATTTTAGGGGCAGAAGGAAAACAAGCTGGCCAAGAAATGACAATAATCCTACCCCACCTGAAAAAAACTTCTGGACAGAGGCACGGACATTGGCCTCTAACCCAGAAAAACAGATATTAAAACCCAGCAAATAAACCCCCCCAAAATTCCGCCAGTACGACATTTGTCTTTGCAAACATACAGGGTCTAAGACGGTCAAAAACAACAAAATTCCTTACATCAAGGGGACTGCTCACAGAGTCAAATGCAATGTTTGCAACATTCACAGAGCCCCACATAAAGGATCATTATGACAACAAAAATATGGATCCCAGGTTATAACCAATTCCGATGTGACAGACTAAACAAGCAACAAGGGGTAGGGTTGGCCTGTATGTCACAGAGTCGCTCATTTTCATAGAACTATTAAACACCACAAATGATGTAGTTGAAGTTTTGGCAGTAAAGATCGAAAACCAAAACCTTGTCATTGTGGTTGTATACAAAACCTCCAGATGCAACTTCACAGCAATTCCAGGAGCAGCTTGAGAAAATTCACCACTGTCTGGAAAATCTCCCAACTCCTGCTCCAAACATCTTACTATTAGAAGATTTTAACCTGAGACACCTAAAATGGAGGAGTATAGCAAACAATGTTTTAGCAGAGATCACCCCGGGAGGCAGCTCAGATGATAATTCACACACACATGAACTAAATAAATCTCTGCACCAAATTCACCTTAAACCAGGAAATAGTAGAGCCTAGAAGACTAGAAAATACGCTGGACCTCATCTTCGCTAACAATGACGATCTGGTATGTAATATAACTGTATCAAAGACAATTCACTCAGATCACAACACAATAGAGGTACAGACATGTATGAATAGGGCTCCTGACCAGCAAAATGTGAGCAGT